ATATATATGTATGTATGTATGTACATACATATATATATATTTGTATGTATGTATGTATAAGTAAACATGCATGTTTATATGCATAACACTTTGAAGTTTTAAACCTAGCGTATTTTAATTTAAAAAAATAATATTGTCTTTTATCAAATATTAAAAGTTTGAATATTTATGTGTATAAATATGGACTTCTAGACATGAGATATGTTAATACGTAATGATTGTGTGCTATATATTTAAATTTGAGAGTCATGTATATAATTTATTTATTTATTTATTTACTTATGAAAAAAAAAAAATCAACAAAAAATATAGTGGAAATCAATTGCGGGCCCCTTTGGCCGTCACACAAAAATAAATCATTATTTTGCACCTAACAACATAACGTAACAATAATAAAATAATATCAAATGAGGTCTAAGTTGAAATTTTCATATTATCTTCCATGTGCCAAATGAGCATATGACCTCATTATATATAGTTAATAACAATAATACCTGCAACTGGATTAAAATATAAATTTCAAATTTCTTTTTATAATTTTCCTTTTTTTTTTCAATTCAATGATATCACAATCTCTAACACTAATAGAAATCAGAAGCATTTGGAAGAATAAGTAACGTATTGTAACGTGATATTGCAAAGTTAGTTTAACGATTTGGTACTTTTTTTTTTAATTTAATTTTTTTATGAATATATATAAATTTTTCTTCATGAGAAATAAACTCAATTATGGAAGACCTCGGTATACACAAATACGGCCATGAAACTAAATACGGGTTACGTGTACGCATTCTAACATGGATACTAGTTCGTTGAATCGAGCTCATTTGTCAAAGTAGTTGATTCAAGTCCAACTGTCAAAGTGGTTGAATCGAACTCACTTGCTGAAGTGGTTGAATCGAACTCACTTGCTGAAATGGCCGACTTGAGCTCACTTACAGAAGTGACTAAATCTTGTCGTCTCCCGAGAATGTGGCCTAGCCCACCTAGGAAGAGACAACCACTAAGGAAGGTTATTATTACTATCAATGACACAGGTTTATACTTTTTTAAAGGTGTGGCCTGACATCCACATTGCGGTCTTTTCATCAAGACACCATGGATGGATGTCATTCCTAGCTGTCTTATAGTAGTAGTTAAAAGCCCACAATGATGTAAGACCTACAGGAGAGTCACAAAGATTTCTCGAATTGAAGGACAACCTTATTATATAAGTGACTTTTATTTTCTTAAAGAAGTGATAATTTATGATTGAATATGACCAAAAATGAATTGTTGCCGAACATATTAATCTTTCAAACAACGGTGTGAGGACATTCCCATCCCTTATAACTTGCCTGTAGGTGAGGAGCAAGTAGCAATGACTTGAATCTCGTCTCTCAAGGAGGTGGCCTTGCCCACCTAGGGAGAGACAAGTACTAGGGAAGGTGATCATTACTACCAACGATGCATGCCCGTCCTTCTTTAAAGGAGTCACCTGACATTCTCGTGATAGCCTTTTTGTCAAGACACTATGGATAAGCGTCGTATTGTAATAAGTGTATTTTCTTTTATATATATATATATATATAATATCATATTTATCTTAAAATATTTTTAAAATATACTTTATCAATCTTCCTTACATAAAAATTTTGGAAGATTTACATATATATATATATATATATATATATATATATATATATAAAAGGGAAGTCAAGAGGAGAAGAGGGGATGCAAAATATTTTCCCAAAGTACCCCAGCGTCTCTCTCTCAAACACTATAATTTGGGAAACCTATCCCGATCCATTTCTTCCAGCTTGTTGGAGGTTCAAACTCAATACACAATCTCTAACATCTCTCAAACCTCAAATCAATCTTTCTCTTTTTGCCTCTCTTCTACAAATGCAAGGTTTTTAATGAGTTATATACTCATGAGCAATAGTGTACCATACATCCTTAAAGATTCAAAAACCTCATAATATCAACATAAATAACTTTCTCCTTCGACATTAAAAATATAAACATTTTTATCTTTTATTCTGACAAAAATTATGTCAGACTATCTGAACAAATCTAAAACCTTAAAATACATAAATTTTCTCCCAAAAACAATCAATATACACAGCTTAAAATCTCTCTTCACTTCTATATTTTAATAATCATATAAATAACTTTAACATAATGCTATTTTCTGCTGTATTACAGAGGACATCATCTTCACAACCAGAAAAAAAAAAAATTCAAATTTTCTTTTCCTACAAATCTCCTCCTAACCATACACTTCCTGAACCAGATCTCACTAATCTTTAACCACATACTTATATTCATACCCACCATATGCCAACAAATATCTCCATGTGGTCCTGCCTTCTTAAATTGGTGAAATAGGTAAATTTTGATGCCTCCAGCATTAGGCAGCTAAAAATTAAGTCTTTCCACCAACTCACTTCTAGAAGACAAATCTTCACCCTTCTCGCCTCCTTCCCTTCCCCCCTTTCCCTCATATCCAAATACCTTTCTATATAACTCTCATCCACCTTTCTCAAATGCCATGAACAAACCCTTTCAAGAAAGTTGAAGCTAACCATCCATGGGGAGATCTCCTTGTTGTGAGAAAGCTCACACCAACAAAGGCGCGTGGACCAAAGAGGAAGACGAGCGCCTCGTCGCCTACATCAAGGAGCACGGCGAGGGCTGTTGGCGGTCCTTACCCAAGGCGGCAGGCCTCCTCCGTTGCGGGAAGAGCTGCCGCCTTCGGTGGATCAATTACCTCCGTCCCGATCTCAAGCGCGGCAACTTCACCGAAGAGGAAGACGAGCTCATCATCAAGCTCCATAGCCTACTTGGAAACAAGTAAGTTATTGTTGTGTTGGCAAAGTCTATTTTTCTTATAGTATAATGATGATTTATGTTATATCGTTGTTGCAGATGGTCGTTGATAGCCGGGAGGTTACAAGGGCGAACAGATAATGAGATCAAGAACTACTGGAACACGCATATTCGTCGGAAATTGTTGAGTAGAGGGATAGATCCGACGACGCACCGCCCCCTCCATGGGCAAGCGGATTTATCCTTTGCGAAGGAGGAGGAGAAAGATGAGAGCTTTGTGAGAAGAGTGGAGGAGAATAAGAGCAATAATAGTAACAGTAACAGCAACAGCAACAGCAGCAGCAGCAGCGAAGAGCCGAAGAGATGGCGGTGTCCAGATTTGAATCTGGAGCTGGGGATAAACCCTTCTTCATTGAAGCAGGAGGATTCTGATGAATATTTCATGGGGGAGGAGTTGGGACTTTGCTTTAGGAATGGGCTGCTGGAATTCAGATGATATTATTTTGCTTATTCAGAAATTGTATAATTTAGGTACAAATTAAGATTATTAATATTGCTTTAGGGTGGGAGAGGTGAGTTTAGAGTAGGTAATTAATGTGCTAATGTGATTTGTTTCTCTTCTAATTTGTAGATCTTTGGCATATATGTTGATATATATGAGATTATTTTTGTTTTTTTTAATGGATTTTTGGAAGTTTTGATGTTGTGGGAAAGAGAGAGAGATTGCCTTGTTTGTTGTTTCATTTATTATTGACTTTTCTTTTTATCAGATTATATTCCTATTAATAGAAACTGAAAGTTCAATTTATATTATAACAAATTTAACTTTTTTTTTTATTTGTTTATGCTCTTCTCTTTTTGGAAAACTTATTTCATACGGCGCCGTCTGGTTTCTACCGTTGATCAGACTGAAGTTATATTTTGGTGAGCCCATTTTTAAAAAAAATATATATTGATGAAAGCTCTGATCAACAGTGTAGATCAGATGACGCTTACATTTCTGCATATGTCGTCCGTATGTAATAATTTCCCCTCTTTTTGAGTTTTGCGTGTTGCTTTCACCTGGGGTGTAGAGTGCAAATATTCTGCATAAATCTATTCAAAGTTTAATTACTTCTTTACTCTTTTTTTTAATCAAATTTAGAGCAACTTAGTTTTGACTATAATTTAAATGTGAATTGGAATCAAATCTCCAATGTAGACTAAGAGGCCTTCCATGATGGCTTTAACAGCTTCAGTAAGTGTGTATTTGTGATAGCAATTTGGTTGCCGCACCACAGTTTTTCCTATGTACTAAAACTACATTTTGTGATCGGATCTGACTAGATGAGATGACAGCTAAAAAGCTCAAGTCTGATTTTTTTAAGAAAAAAAATTATAATAGCCGTCACAGTTTTTTAAACAGTACATCCATAATTGTTTCTTCAAAGAACTGCAACTGCCTCAAATAGACCCTAAACCTTATAAACTTGAATTTACTAAATTCCTTCAATAACAAGATTTAAAAGTGAAAATTGAGAATGAACTGAATTTACTAAATCCTAAATTTAAAATGATCATTTCTTATTTTTGGCAAAATTTAAGTTTGATCCTACTTGAATTAATTATCATACAACCGCTAACTATATAACAAAAGAAAATGTTGTTGACCTACCAAGCCAAAAATAGTATTACATATTAAATTCATTCAATATATATATATATATATATATCTCGGTTAATTGAGTATATATATATATTTGCTTGTATTTATGGAAGTATGGAAGTATATTTCGTCACATTGCAGATCACGAATACGCATATGATGTAACTGAAAACCGTCTGAAATTATATGGACCAAATTTATTATAGATTTTCCCGAAAATAAATAAATAAATTATAAATTATATAACATACTTATCAAGCAATTTTTACGTATCTACATGCCTACCAATTATTTTTTCCTATTTATACTAAACAGCTTGGCTTTATAAATCTAAGCATGAAAATATGTGTTTTATTTTCTTATAATATTAAATATTTAAGTGTTACATATGTTGTATGCAAATGCCCCTAATTTCTTAGACATATTCTCAGTGCCTAGGGCTCTTAACTACCCAATTTCGCGACAAGTTGGGGTTGGCTCAAAATCAACTCGAAAAATATTTCAATTCAAAATTAGCTCATAACTTGGCTCATTTATTTCAACCCAATCTCCATCCGAGCACAATTCAAATCAATTTTCGAATGATTAACGGTTTTCGAGCTGAATTCGCTAAATTCACAACCATAGCATCACTAAGGTTCATAACGATCTGAATCCCGCTCGAATTAGGCTTGAAGAAAATTTTATCTAAATTTCAGCTCGTAGCTCGGCTCATGTATTTCGTTCTAAACCAAATTTACAGCCCTACTAATACCTCGAAAAAAAATAGAATTAAATAAATTTAAATTCATAATGTTATATAAGATAAACATAGCATCTAAAATACCCTATCTATTTTGTCATTTCTATATCAAATCAAATTTAGAAAACTACAACTTATTCTCATTAAATTTCACATAATATAGTCACCTAATACATTTTTTTCAATATATATATATATATATATATATATAT